CCCAAACATTGAACACAGCATATTGATCTGACAAAAAAGTACTCCAGAGTGTTGTTCAGCATGGGGGTGAGTAGAAAATGAAGGCTAATCATGTTTTGGGTGTACTATTCCTTTAAGCCTCAATCGATCTAAGTTTCCTTCTGTTCGCTTCATCTTCCTCCTCCTCAGGAAGGCTCCTTGATGTCAATAATCAAAGAGGCGGGGCTTCCTAAGCGTCCTCCTCAGGGGCGGGCCGATGAAGGGCACGACCTGTCAGAGAGGGCTCCGCCTCCTCGTTCCTCTTCTCCTGTGATTGGCTCTCCGCCGGTGAGGGCGGTGCCTATTGGGACCCCACCCAAGCACCCTATGAGCCTGAACCATCAGGTAGGCTGCAGTGAGGTTGGTGGAGGTTTTCCAGTCTGAGCAGATGTTCCTCTGACTGATCAGCTGTGTGTTTAGATCCACCATCCCACGGCGGTTCATGTGAGAGCCCCGATCCAGCACCGATACCCCGCCCCTTTCCCTGAGCGCCTGTCCCCCAACACGCTCCTCAACATAGCTGTGAGTTCTTCCTGTCGCTGCTGCTGCTGCTGCTTTAGAATGCTAGACACCGACCCAAAGAAAGAATCTGTGGTTCTGATTCGGGGAATTCATGTGCTGTGTTTTCTCTCTGTGTTCAGAACTCTCCGTTGTGTCGCGGTCCGTTTCCTCCCAGAGTCGGCCCGGTTCTGTCTCAGCTCCAGCGAGCGCAGCTGCTTAATTCTCAGGTCAGTATCGGGGGCGAAGAACTGATCACTGCACACAAAAAATTTAATTAGATAAGAACTTTTTTCTTAAAATAAGTGAATTTTTTTCTTGTAATAAGGAAGTGAGATATTTTGCCAATGAAACAAGAGAATTTACATTTCAAATAAGAAAAGACAACGGAATTGTCTTCAAGTGCATATTACCTATTGTCTTATTTTAAGAATAAAATTACTAATTCCACTGGCAAATCATCTTATTTCCCTACTCAATTTAAGGGTAAACACACTTAATATAAGAAATATTTACTTATTTCTAGATAATTTTTGCAGTGTGAGACTTTTGGAAGCAGGTGGTTCTTTGGCGGTACCGTTGATCACATCCAGAACCGTCCTGATCCATCTTCTCCTTCTTTAAATAGTCAGCAACTTATCTAGTAATCAAATCATCATTTAGTTGAGAAAACAAACCGTAATGGATACAATTTACTGGAAGAACAACGCACTTAGAGCAGAAATTAAACCAAAGCTGGACAAAAACACATTTTGCATTTGAAATGATAAAGGATTCTTTGTCAGTAAATCTGCTCTGTATTAATTCTTCACTTGGTGTTTCTGAACATTTCTTAATGTCTTAATGTTCAATAATATTTAGACCACATTTAAATGTTTATTTACTAACAGTATCTATTTGTAGCTTAACTACAAAAAAGATTATCACTTCATGTCTTAAATGATCAAAATTGTAATAATTTTATTTACTTACAACCAGGTTCACAAACCTTTCCAGGACCCAATTTCCTCAAGAAAATGATGAGCGGTCTTGGGCGTTAGGCTGTTGCTAGTGCTGAAGTTTATTCTTTAATTTTTGTGACATTGTGGGGAGAAAAAAAAGTGAAATTCGAGAGTTGAAAATACAATGTTTTTATATAAAACTTGAAAACCTCAATCTTCTCCAACTGCTGCCAAAACCAGAAAGTTGTTTTGTCCTTTGGGCTTTGGGAGAAGCTCCTCCTGAAATGATTGTTTTCCAGGCTTAGCGTTTCACGCCGACTGGGCCGCACCGCTGCATCAAGTTAAAACGATGACGGTCGCCAACTTCGTCACATTCCAAACCCCAAAAAGCAATCAAGGACTCGTATGGCTACTTTAATAACTTTCCAGGGCATTGAACTTACATTTTCAAATTTTCAAGGATTTCTAAGACCTTTGGGAACTCAGCAGGAATGAAAGAAACAGCGGATTTATGAGCAAAACAATAATTCTGTAAATATTTCAGCACATCTTCATGTCGGCCTCTCTCCAGGTGGCAGGCTTTCCTCGCGGTGGCCCCGGTCCTCCTCTGTTAGCTGGTGGAGGTTTCAGGCCTTTCTTTGGGGGGCCCCCGCCGCCTCACGGCCACAGGATGGGTCCCCCGCCGCCTCACGGCCCCCACAACCACACACCTCCCATCAGGCACAACACGACGCACCTCCACCCACAGCACCGCCGCTTGCTAACGCAGCGCATGCAGAGCAGAGGAGGGTGAGAAGCTTCCTCCGTTAGCTTCAGATGCTTGATGAACGCGCCGCTCAGAGCATCACCTGGTTATTCATGTTCCTACAGTGACCGAGGCAGGACGGGCCTGGACCGGCGCAGCAGAGACCCCTACAGTAACCTGATGAGTCAGAAGGAGAAGGAGTGGGTCACTAAGATCCAGATGATGCAGCTGCAGAGCACCGACCCTTACCTGGACGACTATTACTACCAGGTCAGATTCTTCTCTGTTCTCTCTGTAGATCACCTGATTTAGCTGAATTATTCTCCTGTTTTGCATGAACCATAAAACACGCAATTATCTCTGATAACCAAACTCAAACT